GTAATAAGGGGCACTGGCCTTATTAGGTACATGGCCTTATTTGGGTCAGGTACCTTATATATTTTTTCTATTGTAGCATTTCTTGCTAAATAAATGTATGCCTGTGTATAGGAGTCCGAGGGCTCGATTCCATATTTTGAAAGATACAGGTCCGACTGTTTGGAACCTTAGATTAGAGTGTAGGATATAGGTCCGAGCGCATATATTAGTAACCACTCCTTCAAAAAATGTACATGTATTGCGACAATCCTATGATTTCCTTGCAGTCGCTGCGATTCTTGCGACTGTTGAGGATTGCCATGAAAATCGCAGTGATTTCCAAGGATTGTCATAGATTTCCTACTGATTGTGGGTCTGCCAAAATGATTGTGAGATTGTGAAATGATTGTGAGATTGTGAAATGATTGTGAGACTGTCAAAATGATTTCTTGAGGGATTTCCAGTAAAAGTGATAGAATAATAATCTTGATAACATTGTAGTAGAATTTTCAAATAATTAAAACAAGGTATCGTTTATAAGTCAGATTTCTGAAATATTACTTTCTATGGAGACAGTGAAATTTTTGTCAACCTATTTAAAAAGAAAACACAGTACAAAATCTTCAAAAAAATACTTTTCTACGATTGACAAGAAATCCCAACATTTTCGACCGGTTGATGGGCCAGAAAACTCAATATTTTGGTATTTTTAATTATCTTTCAATAGTTGTTAAGGAATTGATGGATCCCGGCTTAGGCCGAGAAAGTGATTCCCGTACTGATGAATAATTGGAACAAGAAAACAAACATTTGAGAGATATCTAAGCGATCGCAAAAAAAATAGTATGTGTATTTCGGAAGAAAAGCACTTTCTCGGGCTTTGGCCGGTGTTTGCTGGCCTTGGCTGTGTCTCGCACGGCATATGATACTGTCGACCGTGAATGTGTCACTTTTCCACCTAAATACACAATATAAAATCTGTTTTTTTTTAAGATAAAAGTCAAAATGACATTATGTTGGCAATACAATGTAAAATTGTCAAGCTTCCAAATTTTGTATGTAGAAAAGGCTTGTGTTGCCAACATAGTTACTACGTTTTTGACTTGGGGAATTATCTTTAAAAAAAAAACAGACTACTAATTTTTTTTTTTCTCCTTGGTGGACTTTTACTGCCTAGGCATTAAAAGTCGTTTCTATGCAACGTTTCCGGTAATAATTTCAATCAACCTCGTTTTCAAAATTAATAATGACAATGACAATATCACATTTTTTCAAAATAATTTAATTAGAATGTAAAAAAAATTACTATGAGTGAAATTAGAACAAATTCCGAGAAAAAATTAAATGTTTCATACGGCAGAAAATCAGATTTAATGCCTTGGCTGGTTTCCTAGCCTCGGCTATGAAACACCAGCCGCGGCATTAAATCTTGTACTTTTCTGCCTAGTAAAACAAATAACTATTGTCATACGCTCCCAAATACAGCTATTTTACGGACTCATTCAAGTCCGTAAAATGCTTCTTTTTAGGACTTTTTTTTCTGACTGGATGCACCTTTACGATTTCAAAAATTAAGGAAATTTTGCAAATTTTAGCGTTCTGAAGAATTCTAAAAAGCGTGTGACAAAAAATAGTGTTTGTCAAACGTACCTAACGAAGTTTTTCAGTACTCATCTGCTATTCCAGACTCGGCTAACGCCTCGTCTGGAAACAGCAATGATTCTTCCTGAAAATTTTCATTTTAGGTACTTGTGACAAAAATAACTATTTTATTTGTTAGTCATTTCAATTTTCTAAATTCTCCTTCATTACTCAACTTGTCACATTGTTCTAAAATAAATGGTCCATTTCCAACCAAATCTAATGCCAGAAAAAATATAAACTTATCTGTTTTTGCGTCAGATATTTTGGATTGTACAATTTTTTTCTTGATTTTTTTCATCATCTGTGGAGTTATCTAAGCCAGCCAATTTAAAATTTGAAGTAGATTCATTGAGGTGTCTATCAGGTCCAGATTTAGAGAGTAGAGTAGAGTAGAGACAGGTTTTTTCCTATGTTATGCTTTTCTCTCGGTTTCTCATAGGAGGCTGTCATCCCTTTGCAACGAATCTGCCTATCAGATGAAAGTTTTCCTTTTTTATCAAAAAATAACCAACAGAGAGTGGACTTTCTAACCAGCATTTCCCTTGCGTTAACATTGATATTCAATCTAGAAATATCATTGGTCTTTTTCATCGTCTCATAAATCAAGCTCGTCTCCAAATCTTCAATCAGAATTTCAGGATCTTGAACTTCCTAAGCTAAATCCATTTGCAAGGAAAGTTCTAAAGAGGATTGTTTTGTTTAGAAAGTATAATATTTGAAGGTCGGTTTATACAGCAAATAAGAAACGTACCTGTGCTAATTTGGTTTCCTGGAAATACATAGTTTTTTTCTGCATATTATGAGGAAACTCACACAGGAGGCGCGTCAAGGGAGAAGGGTAGCGTGGCCAGAGATGTTTTCAACTTCAAGTACCGATAACTTGGAACAGTAGGCATCGTATCGTACTGCGGTTTTTAAAAAAAAAAACTTTCTCGGAGCCTTAGCTTTAATTCATACGCTGATAGTATGGCAAAATTCCTTTAAAAAAAAAGTTTCTCGCTTACCGAAAAAAGTGCTGCAAAAAACTATCTGTCCGAGTTTCCTCCCAATATGCAGAAAAAACTATGTATTTCGAGGAAACCGAATTAGCACAGTTACGTTCGTCCACATTTTCTCCATCGATTAAAAAAAAAAATTGTTCAATTATCTCAATTAGTTTCCGAGATATTGCAAGTTATGTGTAAAAAAGTACGAAACAGTTATTTTCACAAATTTTACATATTTTTTGATTTAGAAATAATCGGTACCGTTAAAAATAGTTGAAAACAGCCATTTCGGATGTCCAATGACGTATCTAATGATGTAATAAAGATTTCATTTGGTTATACCTCAAGAAAAAAAACTTATGAATGCAGAAGGAAGCGACTTTTTCCTGCACTATATTCACTTGGGTAACGGCGTGCTAAACGCAAACGTTAACGCTCGACGGTGAGTTTATAAATTGGGCCTAATGAACACAAAATAAGAAAATCTGAAAACTATAAAATGGTAAATAATTGACTTACAATAATAATTCTACTTCGAAATTACACTTTATTGCAACTTCGAAAGTGCCTTTCTACATCTAGCTTTTCCATAATTTCCCAACATTTTGTTGTTTGTATTTTTCTACTGCATCTTTGAGTTCTGCAAAGGACTTGTATTTTGCCCCGAGTTTTGAATCCATTTTGAAGTAAATTAGAATAATTAGATATCAAGATATCTTACAATAGCAGGTAAACTATTCTGAAAAATTCTAAAAATACCTCGAAAAAAAAACTAAAACAATGATATTAGCACTAGCTGACCTGTATCTGCATAAAACACAAACATCTGGTTCCTGTTAGTTTACCAAATGATGAAAATAGTTATTTATGGACTATGGTACTAGTGTGTTATGTTGAAAATAAGTTACGCAAGAAAAATTTATACCACGAGGCCGTCAGGCCGAGTGGTATAATTTCTCGAGTGACTTAGAAAACATAACACACCAGTAGCATACAATGTTTTATCCAACAACTGAGAAATCTTAACGCGCGAGAAGCATACAAGAACTGAAAAAATTGAGGAAAAAACTAACAGGTATTTTTTGTGAACGAGTCTTCTTTAAAGCAGGATTTATAATTTTTTATTTCCTGCCATTTTGCATTGACGTTATAAGAGAGTTAGTTATAAACCATAACCCACTAGTGAGTTATGGATTTTAACACACTAGTGTGTTATTTGATAATTTATCTGTCTAAATTGGCACAAATTATGACTCTTATAACTAGCAGGTGTTGGATAAAAAAATTAAACAGTACCTATTATTCTAGCTTAGGTATAGGATGTCTTTAGGTATAAGGTGACTCTCGGACCTCTATCCTATCATATGATCTATTCTATTGTTAGAGAGCCGAGCGGTCGGATCCGTATTCTCCAGGAAATGGAGCCGAGCGCTCGGACCCCTATACACAGCCCAAACGTATTTATTATTATTATTTCAATTAGGGACCCATTGAAGTGAATGAAGATACCCTGGAAATTACATTCTATAAAATCTGTAATTCTTTGTTGAATGCAAGATAGCATGTCCTGCCTAATTTATTGTTGTTCTTCATTTTCTCTAAAAAAACCCTGTAGCAAGACTTTCCCATCATTCTTTGCCCATGGACCTGTTACGTAATTATCAAAATGAAGTATGTGGTATCACTTTCCCATGTGTGGATATGACAGCTACCACTCTCTTCTTCACTCAATCCCAATTTCTTGATGTTTTGTCTCTAATATGTCTTTATTTGATTGCATCTCCTTTCAGTGGCTATTCAATTCTGTTGAAACATCTCAAAGTTTTTCAGCCAAATCATATCAGTGCCAGCATTTCATGATCCTATTTGTGCTAATTTAGAAATAGGATCTGGATCGTCATCTTATTATGGAATTGACATACCCGTGAAGAACCTTTTGTCAGATCATTCTCATGGCGCCAAGTCTTACAATCTTTCTCAAGAAGATTATTTTCATAATGGCTCAATCAGTGATTAATAATTATCAGGAGCAAGACACAATTTGGCCTCCATTTTGCAAAGCAATGCAGTTTAGCAAATAATACACATTTTTTTAAAATTTATTTCTCAATCTTATCTCATATTATTCAAATAAAACAAATATAACCAACTATTTTGTAATAATTTTTTGCCAATTTTGCGCTTCCTGACTTTTTATAATAATGTGTTTGTCTAACTAAAATAGTAATTAGATAACTCAACATTATCATTATCTTGAAGATTGTTTACTTTAGTTTGGACTTTGATCCCCTTCAAATACAAATTGTGCTAGACACACAATTTACTCTAGATTAATTAAACAAATAAACCAATTTCTACCGATAAAGCCTAATTATGGATTTTGTCCAATAGAAATCAACAGCAAACGGTCACGTGTCAACTGGAGCCCCAAAATCCGAAAAATCTCCGGCAAAAGAGCAGAAAAAGACTCCGGAACCAGCCAAAAAGGAAAAGAAAATAGTTACTGAGATTAAGGAGCCTAAAAAAACCGAAGTGAAAAAATCTGTTGAACCTCAAAAGAAAGTAACCAAAAAGGTTGATTTTTACTATTATTATTTGTGTATTTTTTTTTTACTAAACTGTTCTAGGTTGCCGTTGTAAAACCTGTTGACATTGACGATGGCGGTTGGGAAACTGTACCCACTAAGAAAACCAAGAAAACCGACCAACCCCTCGTCAAGAAGGACAAAAAAGCCAAAGCACCATCCGTTGAAGTTCCAGCTGTCAAAGAAGAAACCCCAGAAAAAGAAGAAGTAAAACCTGTTGTAGTAGTTGAAGAGATCAAAGCTGAAGTCGAACCACCAGTGGTGGAAGAAGTTGCTGAGGCCATTGAAGAGCCTGCTCCAGTTGTCGAAGAAAAGAAAGACAAGAAGAAGAAGAAGCCAAAGGCTAATAAGCCTGAAGTAGGTGCTGCACCAGCACCAAAAGTTGAAATTGCAGCTCCCGAACCTGTTGCTGCTCCTGTTGAGCCTAAGAGTGCTCCTGTTGAGCCCAAAAGTGCTCCTGTTGAGCCCAAAAGTGCTCCTGTTGAGCCCAAGAGTGCTCCTGCTGCCACAGCTGGAGTTGCTTTTGATGAATTAGGAGGTAAGTTTTTTGATTTTATTTATTTATTCAACGTATTGACATTTACAAGTTTACAACTTAAACTACCTAACCAGTGGCGGCTTGTCACAGGAGGCAGGGGAGGCTAAGCCTCCCCCAAAAAAATTGAAAATTCAATCTCAGTTTTTGATTCCTGAAGGCCGGAACTATACGCGATCCCGAAGGGCCGGAGTTATACGCGAGCCCGAAGGGCCGGAGTTATACGTGAGCCCAAAGGGCTAGAGTTATTTTAATCACGGGGCCCAGTCTATAGTCCTATTGGTCAGTGGATAATTTGGAGCCAATCAAAAATCGGGAATATTCAAAATGTGATTTTTAGTCGATATTCCGAGTTTCAGTTCTCTCCGATGTACCGGAAAAAAGCCTCCCCATCTTTCTTGATTTAATTTTTTTTTTTCCGAATTTCCAAAAAAAAAAAAAAAAATACCATCGGATAGAGGAGCAAAAAATACGACGAAAAGTTAATTGGACCCTTCTCGCTACAGCACATCTTAAGGCCGAAAAAAAATAAAAAAGGAAATTTCGATCAGAAAAAAAATTGTGGGTACCCGACACGAGGCCACTTTTTTGCTTATAGCTCCACTATTTTTTAACCGATTTCTTAATACTTTGTCAGAATCCCTATCCTGCAATTATTCTGACATTAGAGGTCGACTGGAGGTTAGACTCTCACATGCTTCACTGAAATCTAGCATTCAAATGGACCGCGGATCTGAAAGTCCAATAGAAATGCCAGAAACATATAGAACCACTACTGGCGTTCAGCGACCATTACTTTTCTAGTAGGAAGTTGTATAATTATAGTTGATTGATATTTTTTTTGCATCAGGTGCATTGTAAATTATTGTGCAATTGTGCATCTTGTTGCAGAACATATTATTATTAACTCTGAAAATATATACTTACATGAAGAAAAGGAACATTTTCTCGAGTATTCATGGTTTTTATTGAATTTGGGACAAATTATTGAGTGCATGGGCACTCCAAAACAAATTTTGCCTGCTGCGCAGTGGTAACCTTACCGTAATTCATTATTTTTAAGCCTCCTCACTTGAAATAGTCACGAGCCGCCACTGTACCTAACCAAAAACAGCCCTTTTTTCGCAATTTAAATCTCATATATTATGACATGTTCCTTGTATTTCTAAAGGTCAAAAACTTACAATTTCTTCTGTAACTGACATAAAAAGCTGAGAAACCAATGTAATTACCATAATTTTTCTTTCAGATACTTGGACAGAAGCTAAACCAGTGAAAAAAAGCAAGAAAAAAGCCCGCAGAGACAACTAATATCCAAAACTCAGTTGTTAAACAACAGTTAAGCTGTTAAAGAGCCCAGCTGGGCTCTGTTCCATCTTGGAAAAGGTGGCGACTAATGTGATCACTAAAGTAACCTCAGCTGTTCAGTTTGGGACACGATCTCAATTTCAAAAAAAAAAAAAGATTTTTGAGATATCCAACACGGCTTATTGAGAAAAAAGTAACATCACTTTTTGCTCAATAAGTCGGCGAAGATTAACGAGTAAAATGTGGTGTCCATTCTCTAGCTGATAAAGTGCTAGTTTTTCAATCGTAGTTTTTAAGTGGTACTAACCTAAACATGGCGTATATGAATACTTTGACTAGAAGTGAAATAAATGATAACGAACACAAAGTTCTGGATTGAATTGAATATGCTATAAATAAACAAACTATGCTTTGTATGTGTTAATATGTAAAGCAATCGAAACTTTTGAGGGTGTTAGTATTATTTTTATATTTAAATATACTTAAGTAAAATGTAAATACTTGCAATAGAAATAAATATGTACATTCCATCGAAAGGGTACTAGTATGAGTGTCTTAGAAGAGAAACCCCTGTATATTTTGTGCCAAGCAAAAAAAAAGGGTCCTGTAAGAATCAAAATGCATGCAGTAGAAACCCTAAAAAATAATCTATAACCAATGCCTTACATACTTAATATTTCAGAACATTGCAGAGTTATACAAAATGTCTTCCATCAATCGGTTTTGTTTATATTCATATAATTAAAATAGTGTTTTTCTTGTCTGGAACATGAGTGATGACTAAATTAACAACAAATTGAGAAATAGGATGTAATGAATGTTGTTAACATTTTTAGCTTCTCTTGCCATCATTTCTAGATTCATAATGTACCAAGTTTCTATGATAGAAATTCCAATTTAGGACAAGTTTTTCACTTTGCTAAGAAAATTCTTATAGGATTGTAATCACGTGTGTCCTAAAAAGTGTCCACACATTGTTATTTGTAATAGTGAAACCATATTTCAAATAGTCGTTTTTCTTCCATGATTTTGAGCCAAAATTTGAAAAACATTTTTTTTACATCTACATGTAATGTTTCGTAGTTTATAGTTAATGTTTTGTTCTTATTTTGTTTATTTTTTATACATGATTCCTTGTTTTGTGGGTGTTTAATTTAATATTAAATATTCTATTGAGAATGCTCAAGTTTCTTTCTTTACCATTTTTTAATGTCTTTCATTTTTTTTTTTTTTTTATTATGCGCGTGTAGTTTATTTTGCAAATTTTATGAAGCAGATTTTCCAAAAATTGCTTTATAAAAACGTTTTTGTCCTATTTTTGTTTTAATTCAACACTTACTAAGTGTATGTTGTCCCAGTTATGTTAGATTTTTTACCACTTTTAAATTTAAGCGAGTACATTAAGGTTAATAATAGTTTTTGCATTTCTAGGAGTGTTAATTAAAAAATATATATTTTTTTAGGATATTACGTGTGCTTGGAAATGCTTGTGACAATTGAAAATAATGTTTGCTTTATTTGTAAATAGGATTTTTGTTTTGTTTAAATAGAAATATCTATTTATCTATTATAAGATATTTGTATATGTGGCTATTGTAATTTTAAGTTTTTCCATCCTAGGATAATATATATTATACAATATTTTTTGGTCAATGGATTGTTTATCTTTTTGGGGACCATTTTGGAATAAAATATTTAAAATTGTTTCTAGTTGTTTTAGTAAGTAATTAAACCCCTTCGATTTTTATAATTATTTATAGTTTTGCAAAAATTTCTGATGTATGATGTCGACAATAGTTGTATTGCTTTCATACCTAGGAGGAGCTCCGGAACAGTTCTGGGGCTTCATGTGCTTATTCCTTTCGAAAAGTGTTTGTCGTACCACGCATTTGTTCCCTGTAAATCGGGGGCTACTAAACACCGGAACGAGTAACTCTTGAAAGGAATACAACTAATGGGTTGTTCTTCCTCTTAAGCCCAGTTTACTCATTTTCTGATAAACTTAAGCAACATGTAATCTATAATCCCATTGGTCGACCAATAGTCTGACAACCGATATATAATTTTTGGAACCGAATATATGAGAGATTGCTCAATCAACTATAGATCGGGGCATTGTGCTCTTCAAGAATATAGAATGAAATATAGTGCATCCCCATCCCATTTGAAAAAACCTGGACGCATAACAAATAAGTGGATCATTGTGGAACTTATGGGTGGACCTCTGCGGGACGAGCGCAGCGAGTTCCGCAGCCATCTACTCAACAATATACTGTTGAGCTGTTCAAATAAGACACTCACCTGAAACGTGTAGTTTTTAAACTAATGAGAAAAATTTACAACTGAGTGAATCAGGTAAGTATATTATTGTACTTGAAGAACATATTGATGAATAGATGGCTGCAGTATATTCGTGAGTAGATGGCTGCGGAACTCGCTGCGCTCGTCCCACAGAGGTCCACCCATAAGTTCCGCAACAATCCACTCGTTTGTACTTGAATAACTTGTCACATTATATTACTAGTTTGGTAAAGTAATATTACTAATTCTTGTTGAAAGGCAAATTGACAAAAAGTAGATAATCTCACAAATTTTGATTTTATATAATAAGTTATTGTTCAAGTACAAATAAGTGGATAATTGCGGAACTTATGGGTGGACCTCTGTGGGACGAGCGCAGCGAGTTCCGCAGCCATCTACTCACCAATATACTGTTGAACTGTTCAAGTAAGACATTCACCTGAAACGTGTAGTTTTTAAACTAATGAGAATAACTCACATTTGAGTGAGTCAGTTTAGTATCGTAATTACACAACATATTGATGAATAGATGGCTGCAACATTTCACATTTCTGACATTCAATTTTTGTTTCTGACCATGGACTCTAAAAATTAAGCCAATACTGTACAACTTTTGTATTTACACCTTTCATCTACTTGTAAAGGTGAAGGCTGTAGGTGGGGTGTCAATACATAAAAAAAAACACCCTGTACTTGAACAGTAATTTATTATATAAAGTCAGAATTTGTAAGATTATCCACTTTTTGTCAATTTGCCTTCTAACAGGAATTAGTAATGTTATTTTACCAAACTAGTAATGTGACTAGTTATTCAAGTACAAACGAGTGGATTCTTTTTGATTTATTTATAAGATCTTGAACGGGTTGGCACCAGAATATTTCAACCAATATATAGTTTATAATAGAGACATTCATGAATACTCAACAAGAAATATTAATAACCTGCATATCTCAAGAACCAATTATAGGAGTACAATGAATTGTCTCTTTTTTAAGGGATTCCAAGAATTTAATAGGCTTTCAAATAATGTAAAGGAATCTAATTCATTAGGGGTTTTCAGACAGAGATTAAGAATATTTGTATTGAATCAATAATGTTCAATGTTAGGCAATATGTTTTAGAGAACAAGTAGTTATAAGTTAAATTTGGGTTGGGTATGTTATAAGTACTGGTTTTGGTGAATATCTCGGTGAATATATGGAATTTATGGAATTTTGGTGTTTTGTGTAGGAGTGGAAATAATGTTTTAGTGAATACTCTTGTACTTTTGCTGGTTAAGGGACAAATTTATATTGTATAATTTTTTTTTTTGTATATTAGGTTAACCTATTTAAATAAAGATATTTTCAATTGTTGCGGAACTTAGGGGTGGACCTCTGCGGGACGAGCGCAGCGAGTTCCGCAGCCATCTATTCATCACTTAGATCTTCCAGGCTATTCAAGCAAACTATTACCGCAACTTTCCTTGTCTGTATTTTTTCTCAATAGAGATTGCACACCAAACTATTGTTCGTCGATTTTAATCTGATACTCGGACGGAATGTGAGCTGGTGGATCCCTACATTAAAACGCTAATGGTTACCTGACGTTACACCTGTTTTTGCCATATGAAACACCCCCTCGCTCTTCATACCGCAAGTATCAGTTAAAAATCGATGAACAATATTACTGTTGAGGTATCTCTATTTAACGAGTTTCAGAGAAAATACTCTGGAAGCTTCCTTGCTTCTGTGTTCAAATATTTGATTCATTTTCTACAGCTTTGTTCCAATCCAGCACGAAATCATACTTTGGTACATTTCACTGTCAGAATTCCGCAGAAAACGTAATATTTGTGCATAGAATCCGAAATTCCTATACAGAGTGGCTCCGAAACCAAGGTATTTTGGTGGGGTACGTTACCCCTGTTAAATAAAATCCATTTTGTTTTTGATGTATTTTTATTTTCAGTTTTAGAAAAAATACAAGCAAAAATCATTGACAAAATGATTTGAATTTGCAATTATTAAATTAAAGTTTTCCTGTAGTGCGTTGATATTTGAATTGCCTAAAAATGCAAAATTAAGGCACTGAGAGAGTGTTTATTTGCTTATAATGGGGTTGTAACTTTACAAATAAACACCCAGTTAATAAAATGTTTTATTACGTATATTGTACAAATTCAAATACACTTGTCAATGTTTTCCCCTCAAAAAAAAAACTCTAGTCACAACAATTAAATACATAAATCAGTCACTTTTGATGTAGAATTTTTAAACAATACGAGAAAGTGTTCCCAATAAAATTGCAAAGATTTGGTTTTTGGCTTGTTGAGCATATACAATTTATAAAATAAAAATAATTCTAAACCATTTTTGTAATAAAAAAAATCCCCTCTACAACTAACCGTTAAAACTATAAAAACAATCTATCACAATAATAATTATTAGGTATAGGTAAAATAATTGTTAAAATAATTACTTGCACAAATGTTGCTGGTTTATTAACCACAGGATTATATACAAATATGATATAAAAATGTAACTTAGTCCACTTTCAGGATGTAACTTAGAACAAAAGACAAGAAATTCAGTCAAAATTGTGCACTGGCCAACAATAAGTTCTCTTGTTGCTTGACATTGCCAGACAATAGGAAATATCTAGCAACTCAAATCTAACTTTTGATGTGCGTGAGTGAATTTCAATAATTCAAGTTGCAAATAAATTTAAACCAAATGTGCAATTCAAATAAAGGTGTCTTTTATTCCACACAAATAATGCACCCTCTGTATATTCAATAAGAGAATAAGTTACATCCTTCTTTTTTTAACTTGCCAAGTTAAATTATAGACAAAGAAAGATCATATTTACATGTAGAAAAAATACAATTATAACATTGTAGCACAAATTAATAGCAGCTACAATCCTAAACTTTTTCTACGAAGATGTTCTGATCAGCACTCTATTATTCGGATTCACAGAATCTTTAGTGCATCAATAATACTTTCAGTGAATGAACAATGAACATATATACAAATAATACAAATAAATAGTATCAACAAAAATAAAAATGTAACAAATTTATCATTAAAAGGTGATTTCCTTTTTGGGGTCTATGATGGCCATTGGTTCGGGTTTGATCATGTCTGGTAAACTCTAATAAATAGTTTTAAGTTAATTTTCAATTACATTTTTCATCAAAGTAGCTTACCTCTAATATTATTGGACTGTTCATTTGGATGTTAGCATAAGACACATTTATTCGTTGTATTTCTTGAGGCTGTTGCATCTGTACTTGTTGAGTGACTTGGACTTGTTGATTTTGTTGCTGCTCACGTCGAGCTCTTTCCATTTCTTCCCTGCAAAAGTTAAATACATATAAAATTTGGAAAAATTGGCCTTCATTTATAATCCTCACCTTCGTTTTTTTACAGATCCAGAATGGAATCTGCCTCCTTCGCCTCTAATCCTATTCATAGCGTGCCTATGCCTTGATTCATGAAGATATTTCTGTAAAAGAAACAGATATTTAATTTGATTTATTTGTTAATTTAATTTTCACTTACTGGTCTTTCTTTTGGAATTTTACCTTCTGCCTCTAATTTTGCTCTGGCTTGCCTTCGCTTCAAAATTCTTTTATATTGTTTAGCGTTTACGTACAACGGTTCTTCCTCGAGCAGCTCTTGAGTTGGTATTTGGACTCTTTGGAATTGGGTGCCACTTGTACTAGGAACCATCTAGACAAATATTATTCCAGTTAATGCTTTATTTATGAAAAAAATCTACTATTAATATTGTGTTAGCTACTAGGAACCATATTAGTCATACATTTTTAGCAAATCTACTTTAAAATAATTTTTCACGTACGTCAGATTGATTTCTCACCATGACTAAATTGCCGTTAGCCATAGCTAGACCGCTGGGGGCCTGTTGCACTACTGTAGTGGCTTGAGTTGCATTCTGGGCTGTTGTTGCTTGTTGAGCGTTGGATATCTGTACTAGGTTACCATTGATGTTCAGCACTAAATAAAAAAACAATTTGATTATTACATAATGTACCGTTTTTTGTATTGTCATTGTATATTATTGATCTCTATTCTATATAGAAGACAACTACAAAATAGTCAAAACTTATAAATACATAGCAGTTAGGTTGGTTGAAGCTTTAGTGTCTTAAAACGGAAAGACTGAAAACTGAGATTGAACACATACAGACTGAACTTTCATCTCAATGCAGTTGAAATTTTGTTCAACATACGTTAAGTTAAAATTTTTGATTCTGAACACAAAGAAATTCAATGGTAACTGGATGTACAACACAACATAGACAACAAGAAGAAAAGTGATCCATTGTACAATATCCGGATGGCAACACTAGGAAAACTAAATCTAGCTTTATGTAATTAAATACCAAAATATTCCACAATCTTGAAATATATTTCTCTAACCACCACTATGTATATGAGCATTGTTTCTTGTACCTGTTGGTGCTTGTTGTAAATTTCCTCCCTCAATCATACTAGGTTGATATATAAAAGTTTGTCCGTCAATTGTCTGCACAATTTGCTGTGTAGGTTGTACCAAAACTTGGCCTTGTTGCAGACTACCAACCGGTAATACCTAAATACAAAATTATTAAATTACTTGATCAATATAAAATTGAAAATTATTTACTTGTATTTGTTGCAATCCTTGAGCTCCGTTGGCCACTTGTATCTGATGTCCTCCGGAAGGCACCGCATGGACCATGATTTGTTGTCCGTTGGCGCCTTGAATTACTTGTCCAGCGTTCATTTGCATTACTTGTACTTGTTGCGGCGAGACGCCCATTACGACTTGGCCGTCTGCTGTGGTGCCTATTTGTTCCATGTTGGATTATCACTAAAATTAAAAAAGACCTTTAGTTACTTTAGCTCGTACGAGTTACGAGTCATATTCTATGTATTCATGATACTGAAATAAAGATATACATATATATTTTTTTTTTATGGGAAACTGTGAAGTCCTAATCCAACCACAAGATAACATTGTTATCTCAAAAAATTGTGGTTTACGTTATGAGAATCATCTACAGAAATATCCAGGGAAAAAGCAACATTTGACATGAATCTGCAAAATACAGAAAACAAAAGTTTCCAAACAACAAAAATGTATGTCTTGCTTTTCTACTCGTGCATATATTGCTCTTTACATGTTTGTTTAAACACATCCCTCATGAAAGACCATGCGATTGTTGCGTTTCCTGTTCTAGTTTCATTTTTACCATAAATGGAAGATATGGATATGAATATATAGAATGGAACATAGACACATGATTTCTGCTATAAATTCAAGGCAAGAGCTGCAGTTGGTTGAGGAAATACCATCGCTTTTAGACCAGAAAATATCCTGATAAAATTCCATAAAAAATGATAACAGTTAAAGTAGTTAGCGCTAGTATCTGACAGTACACTTATACCGGAACAAAGGATGAATTAATGATTATTTATAAACAAACTCTAGGTGATTTTCAGAAGAATTTGATGATTTCTCCATGATAATCCATAATCAAAGTAGAAATAGGAATCAGATACCTTTCAGAGCATTAGGGATATCAACTTCTGGCCCCATATACCTAAATTTTGAAAGAGCCCTTAATACCTAAATTTTGAAAGAACCCTTTAATTTATGAAACATGACAGTATCCAATTGCCTGTGATGGGTTGAACGTTGAAGTATTCATTACGTCATTCATTACTCATTCAAAGGTGATTTCACAGGAATTTTATGATTTTTTGAGGATTCAAAAGAGAAAAAAAATATAAATCCAAAGACCCATTTTATTAAATAGGACTCCCTATACAGGGTGACATTTTAAAAACTTACAATGGCTATATCCCAGGAACCAGAAAAAATATAAAAAATCGCTAAAAATAATTTCTATAGTAGTGAGGGGGAAACAAAATTATGTAATAACTAACTTGTTTTCACTCACCCCCACACCCCCAGCCACCCTAACTTAATAATCTTAAATACCAACCCCCTACTTGTGATACCTTATCTGAAAGCTCTTGAAAAATGCTTTTCAATAATTTCAATGGTACCCTACAAGCTAGGATTAGATGTTATAATTGTAAATAATTGTCAAAATATGTATAACCATTGAAATGTGAATTGAATATTTGACTATTAATTTAATAATAAACATTTAATAGCTATTTATGTACCAAGGGGATTATGTAGATTATAATGCCCGAAGGCGAAACTAGCCCGAGGGCCTATGGCCCGAGGGATATATTTCGCCTGAAGGGCATTATAATCTTGAAATCCCCGTGGTGCATACAATGCTTTATTTTCTACTCAACACAATGTTTTTTCATCAATTTGTTATTAACAAAATCAGTTAAAATTGTGTGACAGAATATTGTTTTGTATTTTGACATGTACCTGCACCTGACCTGTACCTGTACCTGCGACCTGTACATAGAAACGAAATAAATTAATATATCTATAAACATCTCATAAGGCAAGGCAACGGTGGTGGTCCTGTGGGTTAACGCGCTGGACTACATGGGAAACATTGATGGTAGACCGGGTTCGAATCCTGGCTAGACCGAAAATTATTTTCGGTCAGACATTTAGTGGCTGCCTAGGGTAAAGTGCAAATTAATAGAACAACAACAACAAAAACACCTTAAGGTATTATAAGCGGGCGTTATAGATCATAACGCCCGCAAAAGCGGGCGTTATGGATCAGGTTGTTATAGGTGTGTTAACGTATTTCGTTTCCTAGGTATTATGGATCTATATTAGTAAAGTAGAAAATAAAAACATTTTTGTCATTATCGTAGCATTAATTTTGAGGCTTAAATATTTTAGGCTTGTATTATTTTGGGTCAATTCGTTGTTTTGGGAACCTGAAAAAATTGACAAGTCCAAAAAAATATAATTTTAATTTAATTGAATGAAGTTTTATTTACCCAATAAACCAAAAACTATCACATCGAATCCTAGCTTGTAGGGTACCATTGAAAAGCATTTTTTTATAGCTTTCAGATAAGGTATCACAAGTAGGGGGTTCCTATTTAAGATTATTTAGTTGGAGTGGCTGGGGGTGAGGGGGTAAGTGAAAACAGATTGGTTATTACATCATTTTGGTTCCCCCTCCCTACTATAGAAATTGTTTTCAGCGATTTTTTATATTTTTTTTTTGGTTCCTGAGATATAGCCATTGTAAGTTTTTAAATTGTCACCCAGTATAATAATATGGGTTTAACGATATCAGGTTTGAAATGTTTATCTCCAACAGTTTTTGAGTAAAAAGAAAAAGGTACCTATATCTGTTTTTGTCATAAGAATAACAATGTGTTATAAAGTGAACTTTCTCATTTCCTTTATACCAAAGCTGTCAGGTACTTTAAGTAAAATAATTGGAATTGTACTTCAAGTTCTTATAAGTACTTGAAGTACAATGGATAAACGGTACTCATACATGGTACTTGAACTATTTTTAACAATGTACTTTGCAATGTCCTTGATTACATCAACTACAAGGACTTGAAGTACATTGAAAAGTACTTCAAGCACATAAAAGTACTTGCAGTACATAGGAAGAACTCAAAGTACTATATTAAGAGTACTTCAAGCACAATGAAAGTATTGCAAGTACCATTTTGTCTATATTTTGCACCCACACTGCACACCTACATATATGTCACCTGTTTGAAGAGACATCCAGAAATGTCAAATGTGAAAGTTTTATAGGTAACTTTGCAATGAAGTTCACTACAAGTATACAGGGTGTGTCACAAAAATTTGGCGAAGCAAAATTATACTTTTTAAAATGGAACACCACATATATTATCGACCTTTTGGATTAACCTTTCAAACCTGATTCCAAATATACTAGGATTTTTGGGTTTATTCCTCATAGGCCAGCCTCTGAATACTTACACCATAATATGGATTTTTTTTCTTGAATGATTACCTTTATATTTTGCTGGTGGTCTCTATACTCCACCTTTTTCAATACAACTGCAATTATTTCAGCCATTTTTTTATTATTTTCTTCCAAATTATTAGGAATAAACCTAAAAAACCAAGTATAATTTTGGAAACAGGTTTGATAGTGGGCTAATCCAATGGATCAATAATATACGGGGTGATCCATTTAAAAAGTATAACTTTGCTTCGCCACATTTTTGTGACACATCCAGAGCCGCTTTCCAGTGCCTTAATTGTTAGAGTATCATGCTCCTGAAGTGTGACGCTCTTGAACTGCTCGACATAAGCAGCACTGGAACGCTCTCGTCTTAACCCCCACCATTTCGGATTTCAGGAGCATGAAACACAGACAAAAGGGTTGGTGCACGAGGGGGCAGGGGATAACAGAAATGAGTGGCTCAAGTGTACGACACTCTAAGCACTGGAACGCGCAAAGCAATTGTGGAGCACTCCTGAGCTGCTCAGGAGTAACTCAAATGGGTCACTGGAAAGCACCTCTGTATAAGTACTTGGAACTAACTTCATTGCAAAGTTTCTTATATTACCTACAACTTTCACATTTGACATTTCTGAGTATCTCTTCAAACAGGTGAGATAGGTGTGGATGCAAAATCTAGACAATCACCCAGTACTTCAAAAATGTACTTGAAGCTTGAAGTACTTTATATTTTCAAATATTTTAAGTAACACAGACATTAGAGGCTGCTTGTTGGGTTGTTGGTTAATTTTTGACAGAGGTTACAAGAAAAATAATAAATGAAAAAATTGTCATGTTATAGGTGTGGATACAAAATCTAGACAATCACCCAGTACTTCAAAAGTGTACTTGAAGCTTGAAGTACTTTATATTTTCAAATATTTTAAGTATAACACAGACATTAGAGGCTGCTTGTTGGGTTGTTGGTTAATTTTTGACAGAGGTTACAAGAAAAATAATAAATGAAAAAATTGTCATGTTATAGGTAGGTGTGGATACAAAATCTAGACAATCACCCAGTACTTCAAAAGTGTACTTGAAGCTTGAAGTACTTTATATTTTCAAATATTTTAAGTATAACACAGACATTAGAGGCTGCTTGTTGGGTTGTTGGTTAATTTTTGATAGAGGTTACAAGAAAAATAATAAATGGAAAAATTGTCATGTTTTATGTCTCATACCTATTTATGTTAAAGACGTCATTATAATATATTTGAAGTACAAGTAGTTGAAATACTGCAATTGTACTTAATAAAAGTACTTGGTAATTGGAGTACATTTGAGAAAAATATGTACTTTGTACTTCAATAACGTTTACAAAACCTTGATTATTTTGTATTTGTAGTCCATCTATCCATTATCATTATATCATTAAAATCAGCAAAAGCATAGCTATTTGTGGACTTATTGAAATGATTCTGTTTTTTGATTACCAGTTTGGTGCAGCAAAACCTACACTTGCTCCCTTGGTGGTGTAGCCTGCTATCATATCGGTTCAAAAAATAGTGTGAGTGTGAGATTGGGAATAACGGAAAATGGTGATACCAGTTTTTTTAAATTTTCAATTTTCCCGCCATTTGCATGTCTTGCACCAGTTGCACCCATTCTATACCCGGTGCAACAGGGACCCGGACCGGAATGATTGTATCAAAAACCGGAACGGAACATCAGTTTTTTTTTTTGGACCAGAACCGGAACGAAACCTATATTTCATAGAATTGTTACAAGGCAGGCAGAACCGGAACCGATATAAATCTTCGGTTCTTTCCGGTATTTTTTGGTTTCTAGATTTGCTAGGCTGTTCGTTGTTTGGTTTTATCGTAATAAATTTAAAACACACGGGGTCGGTTTCTCAATAGTGAGTCACCTCCGGGTTAGTTTTAACTCCAGGAAACCTGTCTAGTTACAATTTTTGTAGTTATGCTTATCTCAGGGGTGACTTGCTATTGAGACACCGGCCCTTAAAAACAGAGTGTCGAAACGCGCGTATTTCTGAACTCAGCTAGGCTACACCAAGGATATTACACACTAACAGGATTGCTTGTAGGCCTTGATTTTTGGAATCAAGTCAAGTTCATATGAGGTCTGTTTCTGCACGGTTTCCAATCTAAAGCCACGGCCCTATTGGGACATAAATAGGACTTGCATTCCATTCCATCATCTTTTGTCTGTCAAATCAAGTGACTACCCTTATGGCCAAGGATAATACACACTATTAAGGATTGCTTATCGGCCTCGTTTTTGGTGATCGCGGTCAATTGTCGACGTCATTAACTAAGTCGACAGCTGTTTGCGCCAGCGGTCGTAGTTTAGAATATAAATTTATGATGAGAAATATTATCTAATCTTCATTAACATAATAGGCGAAAATGGAAGATGCAAACGAGATATGAAAAAGAGTGTTGTTTTAGAATGGTACCTAACTAATCTAGTAATTGTAACTGTAGTAAAACTTTAGAATAAAACCAAGTTTGCATGAAGCAAAAGCCCGCGGAATCATAACCTGTGGTGCAGTGGTGCAAACACCTTAAAACCAAACGAGAAATGACACGCTGGCTACGTCATCACTGGTGCTTTGGCATGGCAGGGGTCCTTGAGATTTGAACTACATGGCGTTATGAGGATAGGCTAACCTGTAGTAGTAGTGTGTAGTATCCGAGGTAATATCCTTGCAGAAAACTGAGGCCGCCAAAAGTAACCTCTTTTCCACGATTGATGTTACTAAATAGGAAATAGGTACCAAGATCGTGTGTAAAAATCGTTTAATTTTGAGAACTGAAAGCGTGTAAAAACGTGTAATTTCACCAGCATATCGTGTAATTTCACAAATTCAGATTGGCAACACTGAACTACATATTGGAATTGGAAAGAAGCCATTGATCATCACATTATCAACAGAAACCAAACATACTAACATTTGACAAGCTGGTTTTCATGTTGACAAAAAAGTTAACCTCAAATTTGCATAAATCAAAACTTTTTGGAGATTTTTTGTTTGTATATCACTATATCCAGGGCCAAGGTTCCTAAAGTTAATAGGTTGTCTGGTAATGGGTAACTTGATGACGCATCTGGGGTACCTTATGGAGATTTGTATTATGTTGAGGCACCCCAGATGACATCGGCTACCAAAATCTCCCCAGATTTTCATTTCATAGCCTCTCATTCTAAATAAAGAAAGTATCAAGTATCTAAATTGGTTTTCAATTGTAGGGTACCTTATCATTATATTTTTATGGTTTAGAGTGCAAGCTAAAAACTGTTCTCTGGGACAAAAACCCAAAAACCATGCAGATCTGAAACAGCCAACTTTTGCTTGATTTTGCCTATAGTAACTCTGTAGGCTGAAAATTGCAATAAGTCTCCATAATAATAGTATGGTGAAAAATAAAAATTAGCTAGGAAAATTAGATTAATAATGTCAAGACTTTTAAATTTTAAAGGCACAGAGTATTTGTGTTTATAGTGCACACCAAGAATTTATTATTCTAAAATTGCTGCTATGTGCTATGTGAACTGTACTGAAATGCATTTTACTCGAATGAAGGAAAATAGCTTCCTACACTACAATACATTTTAAATTTAAAAATAACAACAAATAAATTTCCAGTAGATAATGGATAATGGATTGTTGCTCTGTTGCGGACAAATAGTAAAAAAAAAATTGATAAGAGAACTGCTGAAGTAGAAGTTCCTTTGTTCGCCATATTTATTAAATGTCCACGTCACAGCTGTAGAAGCATAAATTCGGAATCAAATAAAACGAATTCGGTTGAATTTAGGTCCTAAATATCATCGAACAACAACTCTGCTAATTTGTGGACTTACATTGGATAATTCCCTGTGCACTTTCCCAAATGATTGGTCGAGAAATTCAGTCAAATCGGAGACCAATGGCCGAGACGCACTACACTTATATCCGTATTGGTGGCTAAACGGAATACCGATTGGCCGAAGATGGCGACGGCTACCACTCCCTGTCGAGCACGCTTTCGGTCGATGCACCGTCAGCTTATCGACGCACACCGAAACGATTTGCGCGGGAAAACCGGGCCAATTACAAATTTGACCGTACCAGCCACCCTGCCAATCACTTTGAAATGTTCGGATTTTTAAACAATCACGACCAACTACTATCAACTATGGATTTCGAACGATTCTTTTGTTCTAGTAGGCTTCTGTGAATTAATTTTTCATTCAAATAACTGCTAACAAACTCGGGTATTTGAATATCAGGAAAATTCATTCAAAATGAACTACGCTAGTAAATTATTGATAAGACAATAATTATCCTTTAACTGTGGAGCAAAAACAATAAATTTCAAATAGAAAATTATTAATTTTTCAATGTATAACCCAAATAACCTGTGTGTATCTATTTTTATTTGCTTGTAATAAACACTTGATTTTATTAAAAAAAATTAATTTTACTACCGTAGATAACTGTAATATTATCGATAAGACGAAAAAAGTAGATTTCTGTAATTGGTATTTGGTGCGCCATCTGTTAACGTTTCACATATTTGATGAGGTTTGTTCTGGTTTGTTATTTTACTTATTAGTTGTATTCCTTTCAAGAGTTTGAAACACTCGAGCTACTCGCTCCGGTGTTCAGTCGCTCCCGATTTGCAGGGAACAGTTGCGTGGTGCAACAAACACTTTTCGAAAAGAATAAGCGCGTGAAGCCCCGGAGCTGTTCCGGAGCTCTTCCTAGGTGTGAAAGGAATACAACTATTATTTGTTTGGCATTAGCTTGTTACATAGACATACAGGGTGTTAATTTGAAAACCATTCCCATTGTGTCAGAAATGGAATATTTTGGAAAAATCCCCAAAACATAAACTATAATATGAAGGGGTTGGTTATAGAATAATCTTAGGTTATATTCACACACTAATTCCAAAGTGTCGGTTTGATTTGAACACACTATAGAGCTATTTTATTTTTCATCGTGAGAAAAAATCAATAATAGTTGTTCTGGAATGGAATAACTTCCATATAATTCGATTCATTCATAATCTCGAGACTGTTGAATGTTCAATGTTATTGTGGCGCCATCTATTGTTGAGATAAAAAAATTACAGTCGCCATAATATAGTGACGTTGGAAATGTTGGAATTTGACCAAGAACACACCTAATAGAACTGCTTAATGAGCTGAAAATTTCTGCCGGCTGCCATTTCAGCCGCAGTTCAAAACACTATCCGTCAAAAAAACGAATTTTTACACGTTAAAATCTAGTTAAAATCACCTTTTCTACATTTAAAATCGACGAAAAAACAACTCTCTAGCACAGCCTGAAATGCAACCATTCCATAGAATGAAGTCACCATTATAAGCTATCGCCGATAATGGTGACGTCACTCGCAGACCTTGCCGACTTGAGAATTAACGAACGTACGCCTTAATGAGGATGAGCAATTCTGTTAGTTTACGATTCTTGAAATTCGACATCATTCAGCAACGCCATGTTAGAAGATATGCCATGACGGATTTTCGTCTCGCTAGCTCTTGCGTCACGACCTTGAAACTTTACTCCCAGCGCGCGTTAAGACGTAAACTTCAAAAATCGGTAAACCGGATGATTGGTTAACTTCACTTCAAAACCGAGTCGGTTATTCAAGTAAAATCAAAATCAATCCGGTTAACTAAAAAATAGTTGTGATACTTTTCGCATGAGTTAGGAACAATATTTTCAAAAGCACTAGTGCGGGAAGAACTAATTTTCCAAAACAAAATGCGTGCGGGAAAGTGGCCATTTTGGCACGGTCGTAGAAAAAGGTAATTTTCCGCCAGGATAAACATCACTAGGATCAAGTGACACATCATAGGCGATTTTCAGCCTGGAATGATTATTTATCGGTAAATACCGTGGTTATTCTTTTGGTTGACAACTTTGACAGTCATAGCCCCCCACCACTCAAGAATCATAACCCAAGGAACTGACCGCTGAAATGATTTGGTTATAGCAGTATAGGATTATGTTTATTATTCCTATTTGTTTTTTCGTTTCAACAATGGTTTGTTGTTTAGGTACAGAAATTAGAGCGGAATCTCTCGTTAGTCTCGTTTATCGAACAGATTTTCTTTGGGGATGATCTAAACCTCGATCTAAACATGATGAGTTGCAGTGAGTGAGTGAGTGTATACTTCTTCCATTGTAACAGGCCACAACACAACTGCAAAATCACAAAACACCAATACCAATTCCCAAAATAATAAAAATAACATCAAAAAGCTGTAACCAAAAGATTAACCCAAGTCCAAAGCTGGGTTATAATCGGTTATAAGTGGTAAATACCAAAAGCAAATCAGCTGATATGTGACATCACAACTTCCCCTACTTTGGTTAAAACCGCGACGGCGGAAATGCATTGGTTATAACCAAATAATAATCATTTCAGGCTGAAAATCGCCTCATTTCGGAGCTGCTTTCCAGTGCCTAAATTGTTAGAGTATCATGCTCCTGGAGTGTGTCGCTCTTGTACTGTTTGACATAAGCAGCACTGGAACGCTCTCGTCTTAACCCCCACCATTTTGGACATCATTCTGATGCATTTGCATGGAGTGCGTTCAAAATCCATGGCGGTTTCGGTTCGAATCGAGAGTTCGTAATCCGCCCCCAGGTCGGGGATTCTAAAATCACGATTCGACATACGATTCGACAACGAGACGATTTTTCCGACGATTCTAGGTTAGAAATCTCATTGGAATTATACCTTTCGACACGACAAGGCCGGTATCGTTGTCGAGTCGTGTGTCGAATCGTGATTTTAGAATCTCGGCCCGGAGCATGGAACACCGATATGAAGATTGGTGCACGAAGGGGCAGGGGGTAACAGAAAGATTCAAGTGTACGACACTCTAAGAACTGGAACACGCAAAGTAATTGTGGAGCACTCCTGAGCTGCTCAGGAGTAACTCAAATGTGTCACTGGAAAGCACCTCAGGGCTGCGTTCAGGAATGGCTACAGCCAAGCCAAAATTGGCATTTTGCGTTCGAGTTCGGCTCCGACCAACGTGGTTCGACATTACCGGTGGAGGGGGAAAAGTAGGTTTTGGCATTAGATTTATTTTTTGAAGTAAGAATTATTCTTAGCATTGCCGTCTTTGAACGCACCCCTGGTCTGGTTTAAAATGAGGTTACATGCATTTTTCAACTGTCAAAATTACCGATTGGTCAATCGCTTGAAAACTCCTATAGTCTACTTTTCAAGTCAACGAACAAATAATTTAGAAAAATAGCGGCTTCAATATCAGAGTTGAGAATTTACATTTTTTTACCCATAACTCACACAGGATAACCTATCCTCTTAAGGCCTGTGTAGATGAAATCTCAAACACCTCACTACGCCAAAGTACCAGTGATGACGTAGGCAACGTATAACTTTTCGCCTTGACGTAGGGTGTTGACACCACAGGCTATGATGCCGCTGGCTTTTGCTTCATGCTTACTTGGTTTTAGTGCATCAATTAACATTCTTAAACAACCCTTTTTTAGGGCCGAATTTATAGTCGGTCCTTGAGGTTTCCTCAGACCTTATAAGGAAGCCTTGAACATTTAGAATTGACATGACTAACTTGTCGAATAGTAGCATGTGTTCATTCTAAACTCGCGTCTCCAAGGAAGATTGGCCTTAAACCTCGTTTGCAACTTCCTTTCTGCCTATTATGTTTATCAAAATTAAATATCTTTCAGGGCCGGTTTCTCAATAACGAGTCACCCCCGGGTTAAACATAACTCTAGGGTAAACATAGCAACTAGACACGTATACCCTGGAGTTAAAACCAACCCGGAGGTGACTCGCTATTGAGAAACCGGCCCTCAAATGTATATTCTAAACTACGACCGCTGGCAAAAACAACTAATTACAACGTTGATCAACGTTCGTTGATGACGTCGACAACGGTGCAACACCATATGACCTTGTTTCCAAAAATCGATGCCGATGACTGATGAGTAATCCTGAGTAGTGTGTCATATCCTTGAGTTAATAAGTTCCGAAAGACAAGACAAAGCCCAGTATCAAGTATCACATGGTGTCTTAACTTCTCGGCGCGAGAAAAGGCCGAAAATTGTTTTAAAACGTGGATTGGATTGTTTTTCGAAACGGTTTGAACCAATTTTTATGTGACGTCATGGCTTCATTGCGAGAAACCTTGCGCCAGAATAAGTTTCAAAACTGTTTTGAACCAGTTTCAAAAAAGTGAACACAGCTATAAGACTTTAAACGGGGTGGTAATTTGAAAACCATCCCCATTGTCAGACACGGGATATTTTGGTAAAAATCCCGTACACATCAACTGGAATGAGTTTTTATGGAAATTTAAGGGCCGGTTTCTCAATAGAGAGTCACCTCCGGGTTGTTTATAACTCCGGAACACGTGTCCAGTTTCTATGTTTACTCTGTAGTTATGCTTAACCCGGGGGTTATTTGCTATTGAGAAACCGACCCTAAGCAGTTATTCAGTTGAAAACTCCATACCCGGAGGCAGGTTGTTTTTATTACAAATCTCGGTTTTCATAGTGATTACATAGGGACACCTTTTTTTAACTAATAAGGGCCGGTTTAATCTCAATAGCAAGTAACCCCCGGGTTAAAGCATAACTCCAGAGTGAGCATAGCAACTAGACACGCGTACCCTGGAGTTAAAACCAACGTGGAGGTGACTCCCTATTGAGAAACCGGCCCTAAATTAGATTAAAAAAACTAAAGAGCCGTAAACTTCAAAAATCGGTAAACCGGATGTCCAGTTAACTTTGCTTCGGTTAACCGAGTCGGTTATTTATTCAAGCTAAAATCCATCCGGTTAATTAAAAAAACGGGTTATTTTTCGACAAGCATATTACACAAAAAGGATAGCCTATCCTCATATGGCCTGTGAAGATCAATTTTCAAGCGCCCCCACCACGCCAAAGTACCAGTGATTACGTAGAAAGCGTGTCGTTCCTCACCTTGACGACTGACGCAGGGTGTTTGCAAGGATGATACACACCCACCACACGATTGCTTATCGGCCTCGTTTTTGGTAATCGCCTCCATTTTGGACCAGTGATGTGCCTGTAGACAAAACCGAATTTTCGCGACGAATGTAGTTCATCCAAGGGCGAACCATAGTTCATCTGTGACGTCATGAGTTTGAACGCTGGCGAGAAACTGCATCCATATGCTTCCGTCGAACTACGTTCAATATGACGTCATGAGTTTCTCGCGAAAGCGTTTGTGTTCATGCAATCATGGAAGTAGTTCGTCGCGAAAATTCGGTTTATGTCAACGTAAACAATTGATTGTCTACGCGTAGACAATTCGAATTGTTTACGACGTGAGCATTTGTCTACATATGTCTACATGCGGCGTAAACAATAACTTATTTTAAAAAATTCGAAAAAAGATATCAAAAGTTACTATACTATCACTCACTATCACTTCGATATTAGCATTCACTGATTATAAAATATCAGAAAAACCAATAATAAAATGAAAATAATTTAAAAAAAGGAAAGTGTGAGGTTAGAATTAAGTGGTTAGAATTAAACATTAAACGTCATTTATACTATTTTACATTGTTGACACGTTGTCTACATTGTCTACATTATCTACACGTAAAGTAGACAATAATGAAAGTCTACGTGTAGACGCACCGGCACATCCCTGTTTTGGACATTGGTGTGTCACTATTTTGACGTCATAACTAAGTCGTCAGCTGTTTGAACAGCCTACGTCAAGACGAGAATTACATGCTGCCTACGTCACAACTGAGACCTTAGGCGATTTCGGCAAGCTTTGGTACATGGTTTGGTACCCTGTTTGGTCTGTCAAATGCATACCAACCAATTTCGAATACGAAAATGATGTCGTCACCATGACTTTGGTATCCTTTTTGGTCTGTCAAATAGGATACCGTGGTCAGCAGCACGGTTCTTCTATTTGGTATAGTGCTATCTACGTCTATTTTCGTTTTGTCCTGCTCTGGGAAATGTAAATAAATGGAAGTTCATTATAATTTGATTAATTTGAAATTTTTAACAAATATGTTTGTTTTTTTCGTTTTCACTTCGTGTTTTCTCGTATATTTTGACTGCCAATGTTTGACGATCATTTGAAAAATGGCTTTGAACGACAGATATGGGGTAACTTTTTTGCTGAATGGATTATGGAATAAGGAATAAGCTTTAAATTTACAGAAAACGCTGAGTTAGCCAATAGGTTACTCAAAGGTACTGTCTAGACAGTGCTGATTAGTGATTATAGATTTAAGTCAGTGCAGTCAGTATCTAGTGGCTCCCGAAACTAGAAGAACAACACAAAGTTAGGTTAAGGCTCGTCTCTTCCCCTCTCTCATGACCTACCAAACGAATTCGGAACAAAATGGTATCTTACGTCATTACTATGACGTTGCAGATACCAATTGGTTAACCAAATGGTATACCAACCAAAGCTTGCCGAAATCGCCTCTTATGAGGATAGGCTATCCTGTAGTAGTAGTGTGTATCACCCTTGGGGTGTTTGCACCACAGACCCATGATCTGCACTGGTACAAAAAGACTGGTTATCAAACTAGTCTCAGTTTCCCAAACAGCAGTAATCACAAGACACTGCTAACTCTCAATATATCTGTTTCATATTGTTGGCTCAGCCAAAACCATTGGATCATTGGTCAACCTTCAGATTTAACTCAAGCTTTTTCGAACTTGCGTTGAACCCGAAACTAGTGCGAGTTTCAGAAGCAGTGGTAATCGAATGGTAACCATACAAGACACTGGTTAGTCACAATATATCTGTTTCATAATGTCAGCTTAGCCAAAACCATTGGTTTAATAAGCTTACAGATTATTTAACTCAAGTCTTATTTTGCGTACTTATGTGCTCAACACCCGCAACCTAGTTTGATAATCCAGTGCAGAAGGTTACCACCACTTGTGAAACTGGGTAATCTGGGCATTAATTTGATAACCAGTGCAGTAAAAGTTGCACATGAAAATTCCGTTCGCCAGGATGTAGAGATTGTAGAGAATCGAATTACTAAGCTTAAGCTCTTATTGTTAAAATGATTATTTACTTAACGCTTACAGAAACGATTAAAGTGATTTTTAAAGTCTAGTTTCACAGTTGGTGGTAACCTGCCTGTACTGGTTATGAAACTAAGGCCCAATTTCACAATTGGTAAAACCTATTCAGAGCACTGGTTATCAAACTAGTTGCGGGTTGACTTTGAGTTTTCAAAATAGATTTGACTTTTATTAATCTGAAGTTTGGCCATTGGTCAAGAAGCCCACTGAAAATCCATCTCTGAACCATCACTATTTAATCTTCCAAATCACTTGAGCGATTTTTAAAATCTATTCTCTGTATCATTTCTATTGATTTAGCGTCTTTTACTCAGAGAGATCTCAGATACCCTTTTGCTGATTTCAAACAAAACTGAATGCAAAGTTTAATCTCCCATTGTCCCTCAAAATTATTCCCATAACTTTGTCACTCCTAAGATTTATTTTAATTGAATTTTAACAAATTAACATGGTAAAGCATCATCCTTATAACTCTAAGTTCTAATCTCTAGTCTTCTTAAAACATTTTCCACGCATTCAACGAAGAAAACTCCCAAATCCAGAAATCCAATATAAAAATAAAATAAAACACAAAATCAATTTTTTAACTATTAATTTATATAAAACTTTACAATAATTGTCTGATAATATCACATTTCTCACGTGGATATTAAGAGCCACAAATTTTAAATAATTAACTAATCATTTCAACTAGCTACAAACTAAAAAAAATTTACTAAAGTAGGTAATAAATTAAAAATTTCGAGAAAACAATATGTAATCAATAAAACTTAGGCTGGAAAGCAACTGGATTATATTAGGCTTTTAATATAAAAATGCCTCTGGATAAGTACACCGCAATTTATGTAATAAGTACAAAATATAAGAGTACTGATAAAATTAAGTTAAAACCATATCCAAAGAGGGATAAAAAACTGATGGCTTTCACTCGCCCATAGGAGGTATTTTAAAAAGTCAACGAATAAATTAAAAACCGAGTCAAGAATATTATTACAGACAAAATAATGACTTAAGATGTTATCACACACTGGCGCTATGTTGCCCCTTCATAAAAATCATCAATCAAATTGAATATTATAAAAGTATTACTGGTTTTGCCAGAGTGTGAGAACAGTCTTTGGATGATAAAATGCTCTTAATTTCCTATTGTTTAACCATAAAACTGGTCGAAGGACATAAGTAGGTACTTTAAAAAATCTTTCTTGAATTCAATTTGCTTTATTGAAAGGGCAGTGATTTGGGAGATTGTTTTTATTGAATTATTTTTTCGAGATTTTTTATAGTAAATATATGATTGTTGAGGGTGTAGCCGCTCAAACCCAATAAATAAATATTTGTTATTTTATTGGTAGATAGGTATTTCTTAATCAAAGAAATAATTTGGAATAAAACAAATAATTTAATTAAATAAAAAGGAACTTCAGACTTGTACATCTTATGAAGCTTAGTGATATCAATCTGATAAGAATTGGCTTCAAGATTATTTTTTCTTTGAAACATGATCAGCATAATATGATGGGCTCATGTCAATGGGTAGGTATTCTGGAATTGATAGTATTACCCTTTAATATGGAAACATAAATATTTCATTTAAAAGCTTTTATGTCATGGAGTCTAAATCAGCAAAATATAGAGAACCTTATTATTTGATGATTGAAATGCAATAATTATTATAAGGTAATGTCTTATTTGACAGAGACAATAATGCTGATAGAAGACAAAAATGCAAAAGTTACAATTAATTTGAAAAAATATCAACTGACTGGATGAAATTTTTTCAATTTTGTTTGAGTTAAGATTTTTAAAGGCTGCCAAAATTAACTTTCAATTGCATCTTCAACCCTTTTCAGCTCAAAATGTTGAAATTCATAAGATTTCTCGCGATTGTATATAAATATTATTTCACAAACTTAACAACTTTCTATCTGTTCATTAATGCCCCATTTAATTCAATTTACTAAAATTGTAAATTATTTTTGTTTTTTTGTATCTTCAACAACAATAAGTTACTACCATAATTGGGCCATTTAATGAACAGACCTAATACTTTATGTTCACAGCCTACATCATGCACAGAAAGAACTTTTCAATACGATTCCTCCCCGTTATCCATATCTGCTAGAAGAATCTTTTTGTCTTCTTTGTTCTTGGATCGAAAACCTGATGGTTCAAAACAAGGCTAAAAGAAACAAAAATTAGTTTCAATTGACACAAACATTGCTAAATACTTACAGTTTCGCACACATTCATATTACAACAATTCTCTATTGTAATTTCGCACTGTTCCGTGGTAGGCTGTGGACGATAAGTTAACGGTGTTACGTTTTTATTAACAATCACCCTCTTCTTGATTATAGGCCGTTTATTTCTGCTTGCAAATTGGTAGACTCCTAAGGCAATTATTATAACTAGACAGAAACCTAGTAGAAGTACCAAAGTGGCATAGTCACTATCTGAGCTGAATTTTTCCATAAAACTCTTGCCATAGAACGGCGAGTCTTCCGAATACAAAGCAGGCACTGTGAGATTGTTTTTAGAAATAACAAAACCTTCAGCTTCACATCTGCACACCAAATCCCTATTCTTCGACACTAAATAGTCATTTTTGCTAGTGCTCTCGTGACAATACATGTTACAAAGACTATTAAAATCTGTACTTATTTCACATCGGCTGCCTGTATAGTGTTGGGTGCAGTCACAACTTGGAACCACATCGCCTCTAAAATAATTACAAGTTCCTCCGTTCAAACAAAAATCTTCGCACCGGTTAACTTCGCATCTGGTACCACCAAATCCACGAGGACAGTGGCACTGTGGGTAACCTTTCGAGGATAAGTGGCAGGAACCGTGAATGCAAAAATTGTGACAGTTTTGGGTTTCACAAAAGCGGCCGGTGTAGCCTCGCTTGCATTTGCAAAAGTTGCCTGCTAGCTGGCCACCATTCAAACATTCAATAATATTTTCTCCGGAGGTTTCGGGTTGGTAAACTTCTTTTTGATCTCCTTTGTAGTTTTCGTATACGGATTCTAGTTCTTTGCAATCAGGGTAGTTTTTGATTTGGATGTTTTTGGCTATTATTCCCATTGGTCGTTCAGGGAATTCTCTTATTTTTACTGGTTCTGAATCGCCTTTGTCTGATTTGAAATACCTATGGAATTGAAATTGATATAATAATAATAATAATAATAATAATAATAATAATAATAATAAATGCCTTTTATTCCACCAAAAATATAGTTTATATACTACTAGTAATGTACATACAGATAATCCTAACAGAAAGTTGGCCAGGTTATCTGGATCTTTAAAACCTCCAGATTATAGTGTCAAAGGTGGATTTTGACAATTAATTTTTATCAATTACCTATACAGGGTGTCCGGAATAACTTGAAGTACCATCGTCACCAAAAGTATCTGGGACACAACACAAATAATGCCTAATAATCTCCTGGACTAATTCTACTGTCATTCATTTCAATGCATTTTATTCATAGTTTGACAAATATTTGACAATAAAATTCATATAATAGGACAAGAGCTAATGTGATGCTGTCCCAGTTACTTTTGGTGACGATGGTACATGGGAATTATGGAAACCATTGAAGATACAGGGTGGACCATATGGGGAAAAAGTCGCGCAGTCAAGTGCTTACAAATAATCTGTTATTAACTTTTTTGATCTCGGAATAGCAACGGATATACAGGGTAAAAAAGGAAAAATTGCGTTTTATAAAATCCTTTATATATCTTGTTTATTATAAAAGATACAATCAAGAAATTTCCAGGGTAGGTGTAGGACTGGATGAAACGTACATGTAATGGTACAATACAAGGATTTTATAAAACGCACTATTTTCTTTTTTGCCTTATTGTATATCCATTGCTATTCCGAGGTCAAAGAAGTTGATGTCAGATTATTAATTTGTAGGCACTTGATTCCGCAACTTTTTTTCCCATTTGGTCCACCCTGTATTTTCAGTGGTTTCCAATATCCCCCCCATGTACAGGGTGTCCAAGATTCAATGGTTTTGGGGGGTTTCGGGTATTTCTAAAGGAGTTGGAAAAAATCTGACCCCCACTTGCGAGCCTCGATTTTCAAGAGAAATTGACTGGTGAAAACTACATCTCGATATGTCGAGTCGTTCTTATGCTACGAGGGGTTTTTGAAAAGTTTGGAGTTTGGCAGGGGACTATAACTTTTTTATTTATGAAAATTTGGTCAACTTTTCCCCTTGTAGCTTAAAAACGAATCGAGACATCGAGATGCGGGTTTCATCGGTCAACTTCTCTTAAAAATCGAGGCTCGCAAGTGGTACCCGAAACGGACAACCTGTATATCAAACATCCAATGATATTCTACCTTTTGACAATAATTGGTGAATTATAATAGGAGGTTTACATTCTTCATAAATTACTTATTAGGTACTCACCTCCATAAAGCATTATTATTAATATCAGTCCAATAAATCGACGATTCATCAACAGCAATACCGAAAGGCTTGCTGTGAGTGCCCTCAAAGATAATCTCCCTTTCTCCGCCATCCAAATTGGCACTCTCGATTCTATAATAGATTCCCTCTCTCATATCGGCCCAGTACAAACGTTGACTTTTATAGTCGATTGCAATGCCTGACACTATTCTAAGATCAGAATCGATTAAAATTTCACGATTTGAACCGTTTAGGAAGGCCCTTTCAATGGTTGGATGGTAGGTGTCCGAGTTTGTCCAATAAATGAATCTGGAAAAAGAAATTTGTAGTTGTAGAGGTTTATTTGGTACTGGAGAGCTGCATGAAAAAGGCAGAGATAACGTTAACGCTGTATTCAAAATAGGTAGGTATAGATTTATTTTCAGTCTATAACAACATCATATGCCTGATCATTACAAATGTTTTGCCAAACTTTATAGGTACATGTCTCTGTTGTCCATTTTCCAAAATTAACATCCTTTTAGATATATCCAAGATGTTCTACAACAGCTACCGAAAAGATGAATAATATGGTTCAACAGCATAAGGAAGAAAAGATTAAACAAGCACACAATTCCAGAAAGAGTAATATATAGGCCTAGCATTACATTTCCGTTTTCCGTATAGAGAAATCAAGGGCCTTTTAATATTAAGTACTTTCACAATATTTGCTTGCATCTACTCAATATCTCAAAATTGTTTTTTTTTTTAAACAGTAATGATAAAGTTACATTAATTGATAAAATTACATAAATAAATATGTGACGAAATAGAAAATCATTAGTCGTCATACAAAAAAATGCTTTATCTACTACAATATAGCATAAAGGTAAACATTATACTTATCTACAATATTACATAAAAAAAGCATTTAACCTACTTGATAGTTTTAAGTTACCAGCAAATCTCTGTGCTTTTAATTAGTTCCCTACACTTTACGTTTAATTATCGAGATTATTTTTATTGCGAGAGTCAAATTAACCATGGCATTTCTAGAGATATTGTAAACCTTAATAATACAATCATAACGTTGTTAGGCTGATTCAAAAACTTACCTTTGCCCAGCGGCGGCTCGTGACTTTTTCAAGTGAGGAGGCTAAAAAATAATGAATCACGGTAAGGTAACCACTGCTCCTTTTTCATTTTTTTCCGGCCATAAGATGCGTCGTAGCGTAGCGAGGAGAGTCAAATTAACTTTTCGTCGTATTTTTTGCTTCTCTTTTCAATGTTATTTTTTTTTATCGAAATTTAAAATTTGCCTTCGATTTTTTTTTTTTTTTTCAAAGCGTCCTAACTCGAAAACGAAAAGCTCGGGAGAAAAACTTCAAATACAAAACTTATAGACCTCGTCGAGTACTACAAAAAAGCTTATAAGAAGTATTCCGCCACGGGACACCGTTTTCGAGAAAAGCGACCTGGAAAATTTTAACAAAATCACAAAGAATTTCAACTTTCACAGCTGATATCTCAAAGACAAAAACGGCCTGGCATCTCAACAAAAAAATATTTTGTAGGTAATTTCATCCTCTTTCAAAAGAGATATGACTCGGAACGATCGGTTGAGAAATAGCGGAGCTATAAACGATGGGGAGGCTAACCTTTTTCCGGTACATCGGAGAGAACTGAAACTCGGAATATCGACTAAAAATAACATTTTGAATATTCCCGATTTTTGATTGGCTTCAAATTATCAGCTGACCAATAGAATTATAGACTGGGCCCCGTGATTAAAATAACTCTAGCCTTTCGGGCTCGTGTATAACTCCGGCCCTTCGGGCTCAAGTATAACTCCGGCCCTTCGGGCCGGAAAGTGTAATTTGTAAATTATTATTTTAATTAGGGATCAGGAATAAAAAACTGAGATTGAATTTTCAATTTTTTGGGGGAGGCTTAGCCTTCCATCCCTGCCCTGCCGCCCCTGCCTCCTCTGACGAGCCGCCACTTCCTTTGCCACGTAACTTCTTCATTCCTAAACCTACCTATGACTTTTTTCTCCATTATAGCTTCATCATTGACTTACCTTTAATCTGTTAAGTATGCCACTATCGTTTTTACAATTCAATAATAATATGTTTTAACAATAATTCTCACCTTCTACAGACATCAATAGCAATATCTTGTGGAGTGACGTCTGTGAACTGGAATAGCAATTTGGGCTCAAACAGTGAATCATTCAAATAAACATAATTTATAGTTTTATTAACAGAATCAGTCCAATACAAGATGTCTTCAATTGGATCTATAGCTAAGCCCTGAAAAAAATACAAATTAGTGACTCAAAAGTTGTTAAGAGAAACTCATTACCTGTACGTCATCAGGAAGATCTGGGATAATTGGTGTGATTTCAGTCTCTTTGGTAAGTTGGACAGTGAAAATGGTGTCGTTGCCTTGATCCATATCGCTCACCACGAATAAGTGCCTGATATTATCGAACGTTAAAGCTTTCAAAGTTGTAAATTGTTCTACAGTTGAGCCCAATAGTGTACCGTTGGCTTGGAGCAATTCAATTTTGTCGTTTATCACTACTGCTATTTCTGAAAAAAAAGTATAAGTTTAGTTGAAAGTTGATGTTTTAAATTGCTGTATTTTTATAATTAGCTTATATTAAGCAATAATTATTACTGGGTGGTCACTGTAATCTGAAACTTCATTAAAAAGATTATTGTTTTGTATGGTGGTTATTTCCACAGTGCAATAAAAAAATTGCTGTTTTGCTTCTCTTGGACGATAACAAAATTTCGGGAATTACAAGCCTAATCAAAGCAGTCGTTATTATTATATTTTAATATTTATTGGGCAAACGCAGTTTGCCAATTTTTTTTTAAATCGTTTTCACGGACTTGAGAAGACGTAATTTAATTACATATTAAATCTAAAATTAGTTATATTGTAATACATATGAGCTTTTTGAATTCAAGATATGATATACTTTTACCATATTATATCATTAAAACTTGATTATCTAGCTGATTAGCAATTAATTCAAATGTAAAAAAAATAGTTTATATTTCTCCTTAATTATTAATAAGACGCATGAATAAACAATTCAAGGACATACATAGTTATAAATATTTTTTTTTTTTTCAAATTTAATTCTGATATTCGTTTGGTAATTTTGGTTGCGTCAATTTGTTTTGTTTACCTTAGGCTTTTTTGAAAAAATACATAATCAATATTGGAAGATTTTGTGACAGGAAAAATCCATAAGCACAAATGCTGTAATCATAATTTCAGTGTATCGACATTTGCAAGTTCCTTTGGCTTAAAACCTATTTTTAAAAAAATCTGTCATGAGTGCAAGAATGCTGAGGCAGTATAATGAATGTTATTTTTATTTTTAGAGCTATGGAATTGTTTGGCTTAAGTTAAGTATTGATTTGATTAAATGTACCATACCTACTATTAATAATGATAGTATATTAGATCAAATATTTAAGTAGATAAGAGATTGCGGAAGATTACATAATTTTTGATGCTTGCATGTTTCCAGTCACGTAGTATACACTATTGTTTTTCTGAGAATCAAGTTGCCAAAAATACGAAAATTTCCTCCAATATACGCATTAATTGTGCCTCTACTTAAATCAATTGTCCTTCAGTTATGAAAACATTATGTAATGAGTAATTATTGCATATTTAAATCTGAATAATGAAAAGCTACACAAGTGTAATGGGAGCAATATTTTCGAAAGATATCAATTTGCACAAAGTTTGTAAGTGTTCAACACGAAGCACACATTTGCAAGTATCAGGACATTTTTTTTGTTGCCCATTTTTATCTCTAAAATATAATGGTTATGACCGAGCCGGATTAGATTAGCAAATATAGCAGCTTTTATAATAAAAATGTGAAAATTAAGCACGAGAATTAAAACACCATCAGCTCGTCTAAAATCATTCGTATAACATCCCATCTTGTAGAGTTTAGTTTTATTATTCGCCTAATGATCGATTTTTATCGAAATTAAACTTATTATTGATTTCCCAAGAACCCAGAATTTGCAATTTCTTAAAAATATCTCATTCATAGAAATAAAACAATTGTCATTATCAAAAAATGTATCGTTATATCATTATGCTGCGTTCAATCATTAATTATTGTTTACTGGATTGTTTTAATTGTTAGAAATGTTTTGTTTAAGCAAATTCTACATAGAAACTAACATAGAAGGGTTTGTATCTGAATAAATGGGTATCTAATTAATTCAATCAGGATGTTTGTACTTTTTTTGCAAAATTTTCTATATAGACCTCAGCCTGCCTCAAGGTTTCTAAAGTGTGATTCATATTTTCATCAACCTAAAGTCAACTGCGCCTAAACAAACCAGGAACAAATATCAAAATAGGAAAACATGAGGTGTATTATTTCATTAATTAACGGAAGTGAAGGTTTTTACTGTCGCCTAAAGAAAAATCTTATTCGCGAAACAGCGGATAAAAAAATGTAACATTGAACTTATTAAATTCAATGCAATAAGACTAAAAGATTGCACTACTATACTATACTAATCGATTTTTTTATTGAATTATTGAGCATCGATCAACATGAAATTAATATATTTTTTTTTAAGATCAAATACTGATGTCTTTCATGCCTCAAGTCACGTAGGCGCCCTGGCAAAATTTTGCTGTGTTTGAATTTTCCAATAATGCAAAATTGCAACTTTGTGCTGTAATATTTTATTGTTGAACAACACTCTGCTACAATTTGACTTTAATTTGATATCCACCTTTGGATAATCCATGCAATGTTTTCAAAAACATGTTATTGTCCAAAAATAAAAAACTATTTGTTGAAAATTGGAGTATTTTTCATTGTTGGGGTTTAGGAACAGACAAATATAAGTACATAAACAATATCAAAATCGATTCATTAGGTATTACTTAAATGCTCATTAGAAACCACTAATAGTTAAAGCGGAGGTCAAGATTGGTCAAAATGCTTAATATTTATTAATCCATTTGCGATGACACCTTTCCTATTATTTTAGTTTCATGCGTAGGTATTTGGAATTTTTGTTTATTGAGAATTAAATTTTGTAATGTAACCTATTACCTCCTATCTCCAAATGTTATGATGACTTTTATAACCACACTAGTGCGTAAAATGACATTGTAAATGGAATTAGAGAGATTTATCAGATAAACAAATCGTTTTTAAGGTAAAATGAACTCATTTATTTTAATTTCTTCTTTTGCTCTGTTTTCAGAACTTGCTTCAATCAATCCAAGTGGACAAAGTCAAGGATTCAAGGGGTCATGGAGCAGATTACGATTTAAACATCATTTGAACTTATTATAAAATCAAAGACTTTATTGGATTCGTCTGTGTGTTGAATAAAATTGTCTTTGATTTCATTAGTATTTTGGAGCTTGCAACCTTCGGGATAATATTAGGAACCCAAACCTTATTGACCTCAGAACGATTTAAGACCCAAAAAAAATTTAATTAGGTACTGCAGTAAGGTGATGCAAGGCATTTCCTTTACTTGACAATGCACACACAAAAACTATAAAATTATTCCAATGAGGTCCAAATTCCGGTCAGTTTAATTATTACGGTTATTATCCAGGGAGGACAATGTTCTAAAAAATGATTTTCAACTAAAATGCATTGATAAAAACGAAAAATTTAATGCTTTTTAAGATATCGATTAGGTACAAGGACTTATTGAGAGGCAATTAATTTTTTAGGCTTATGATGAAGAACGATTTTGATGAATGATCTTATTACTATTAAATTTTTCTAACACAAACTTTCTTAAGTATTTGAGCTTATTTGAAACTCAAGCATTAAAAACTAGTAAAAATTTACATATATTTTCATATTCTACTTTCCTTGAAGACATAAAAAAATTGATTTACCTATTAAAGAACCGTTTCACTCGTTCCTGCGTAAATTTTAATTGCCCGTCCCTAATTAAGCTCCTATATAATGTCATCCTAATTTGTACTTCCTAAAGGGTTTTAGGGCCAATAAATAAAAATAAATCTGTTTCAATGAGAGGTCGATACAGATGCTGACAGATGTATTGCTATTTACCGCTCGATACATATCATTTACAAGTATCTCAAGGATATTAAATTGTTGTAGTTTTATTAATTATTATTATTGGTTAATTAATCGGCTGCCTAAGGCAAATCAATATATTTATTTATTAATGAGTAGGCATACATTTATTCATAAATAGAATGACCTACGTATTGAATTTGATTTATTGAATCTTTTCTTGACAGATGGCTTCCCAATAGTAAATTTTATCATTTGTGTATTGAAGGGATTCTTACAGGTAGTTTTATTTTTCAAATTAACCTTTGGGAACTGTTATTTTACGAAAAATATTCAGTTTTATAAGAAACCCGCTAAGGTGTAGTTAGGGTCACTCTCCCATCCCTAATATTCTGAGAATATAACTGAAATCTTACTATAATTTTGCTATAATAGTCAGGCAGATTGGACCAGATTTATAGAATAATTTAAATAGGATCTACCATAACATTCGTAGAACAATTTCAATATTCTAGGAATGGTACTATGGAATATTCTGGAAGAATAGTCCAGTGTACCATTCCAGGAATATATCTCTCGAGAGTATTGGTACCTATAAGCAAACAGGTTCGCAGATAAATAAAATAAGGCACAATTTCGCAGATAGATGGGTAAAAATAAACATTCATCAAAACTATACCTTCGATCTCTCTATTCCTTCTGAAACTTTCTATACTTTTTTTTTAAATCCCAGGGTACACATAAATATGTTAGAATGCATTTATTATAGTTATAGTCTATTTCATTGCAGTTGGTATATTTCCTGGCTCTTTTGGGAGTAGGTACTCGTGTGTAAACTTGCTTGTTTCTCAACTATACTATAAAATCTTATTTCCTCTTCAATTACTTTCAATATCTCGTAAATATTTGAATTGGCTTTTGCCGTTCTTCTATTGAGTCTGTTGTGCCACCCCTCTACTATATTGGTGGTCCTATATGTCTATCCTTGTAAACTACCCATAACAAATCATTGTCCAACCACTGATCAACAAGATAATCATTGAATTTGTCTAAGAGTGAGTCATTTAGTGCATTCTCCATTAAAATAAGCCATGCATCTTGTAATGTTTCTTCTGGCAAATAAGCAAGGGCTGCACACATTCGGATATGATTTCTGATACATTGATTATCTCTGTACATAGTTACCAGTCCACATCCTTGAACCTTTCGCCACAGAGCCTGGTTAAAGTGGAAGTTGCAAACTTTAACTGTTGTCTTTGGAAAAATCTCCTTAATGGCATTGATCGCTGCCTTCTCGTAGTCAATATATATTTTTTTCTGGGAAGAATTGGGGCACACACTGTCGAATCATTTGGAAAAAGGTTCTGTACGTACTTTGCTTTCTGTCTGGAGAAAAGCATACACTGCATTTACAACTACCGTTTATTGCTCAGTGCTTCCTAGATCCACGTGTATGGTGTATAATTGCTCAAACAATGGGCAGCTTTTAAAAGTTTCATCCACAAAAAAATCGGTTCCATCTCT